GTTCAAAGTTTACTTTGCGGCATTTTGCACATTTGACCATTGAGTCAAGGTGAACCGCGAACGCGCTAATCTTGATCTCGTTTGCCTTCTGCAAGTGTCTATCTGTATCTGTGCATCACTCTGTCTGTACTTGTATATGTGTATCTGTGTGCATTAGCGAATTTAAAATATTCATTTTGGTTATCTGAACAAACTCATCTCCACTTTTGCGATTTCCAGTGATTTATAACCGCTCTGGTTTATCGAAGGGCAGATAAATACGGGCAATTTGTAAAAGTATCTGAAGCACTGGTAAAAAACAAGGGTGTTATTTTACTCGGTATAACCATTTAAATGTTTCTAAAAGTTGAAATACAATTTTTTTAGTGTATGTATAGTCATACAAAAAATCGTAGCATTAACAAAACGGTAAGAAAATCCTTGAACTTGCAAATAATATTTCCCGAAATAAAACGAAGTAGAGAAATTCGAGTCATGGAGAAAAGTTTTTTAAATCAATTTTTGTTATACCTTAAATCTATTTCTCATGCGCAAACAATTTTAAGTTATTTCTTTCACAAAACAAATTTTCAATACCTAACAATTTTACAAGCAGCCTTGAATTGAAAACAAATCATTTATGATCTTATTATAAATATTTTTTGACCGCCAAAATGAAAAACAAGATTTTTGGACTATCTTTTGCTGACAGATACGGATACAAAAGCCGTGTAATGACCATGTGGGCGCTCATTATTTCTAGCCAGGTTTTTTTCGCGTTCGTTGAACTCGCAACGGTAAATTTACAACGCTCACAACGGCAGCAACAACAACCTACGCCAACATGTAAAGTTCTAAAGCAAAAGATAAACAGCAAAGCGAAAATTGAAAACTAGCAGCAATAACAAAATAAAAAAAAACGAGAAGATCAACAAACGTCAAACGTCAGCGGCAGGCAACAACAAATATCAACAAACTACTTTGTATTTATAATTATTATCGCAGTTCGAGTATCTGTGTGAGTGCTCGCTCGCTCGCGTATCTCACGGATACTCATATGTACATATACTCATTTGGCTTTGCGCAAACTATTTAGAACGTGTAAATTGAACAGAAAAAAAAAACGCTGAAGAAAAAAACTATTTTGCTTACAGCTGAGCGTTCAGCGCTGGCAGAGCAGTCGGCAGCGCTGCCGGCGTCGCAGTCTCGCACGATAAGGCACCACTAACTGAAAGTTGAAGGCCATTACTGATACGCCCCGTGCGCCTCATAAGTATGTATTACTTTTTTGTTCTTTTTGTATACCCTCACAAGAGGGTATTTTAGTTATAATGGGAAGTTTGTTCAGTAGTCATGGTGAAATATATTTCCCCATTAAAAAATAATCATATTTTATTTTTAAAGGTTCTTGTTTTTACATAATATATTGAAATATGGTGGGAAGTTTGTTCAGTGTCATGGTGAAATGTAAAAAATTATCATATTTTATTTAAATAGGTTCTTATTTTGACATGATATTGTGAAATACTTTTAATTACGATTTACGAAAATCGTTTCTTAAATGTAGAGATATATTTTGAACATCTAATATTTATTGACCCTAAAAATCTTACCACTAATTACATTTGGAGTTATGATAACTTTAGAATATTGGTTAAAAATGATAAGACTTTTTAAGACTTTGAGATAGGGAAATTCGATTGCTAAAAGTTTAAAGATAAAAACTAAATTGTAAAAATCTCTGCTTAGGTGGAGTCTTCTTATAAATATATTTTAATCCATATATTGAGGGTACTCCCCATTCGGCTTCTTTAATCACCTTTATTTACTTACTTTGTGACTGGCAGTTAGCGTTGATTATCTAAGTATGCTGTTGACGCGTGACAAAATGTTTTTTTTTCCCATTAAACTTCTTCTTCTTCTTCTGACGCTTATCTGTATCTTGGGTTTTTGTATCTGCATCTTGATATTGATTCGCCAAGCGTTACAGCAACACGTTTTAGCTGATGGTTGATGGTTGAGCGGCATTTAACATATTGCGCAATTTGCTGATCTTACCGCCCCCCGCCCCTCCTACCGCTCTGCCCCGCCCCTAAAAGCTAACGGCACTCGCTGATAAGCGCTAAAATATTTTCAAACAATTTACGTAAGCGCAACGGACGCTACCGTTGAAAGTAAAAGTTCTCATTAATTAAACAGAACAATCGGTGAAGCGGCGGCAACTTTGTGTTTGCATTCATAGCAAATTTGCATTGAAAGCGCAAGTGTAAATAAAAACTGCAATCGCATGCAACGCCAGCGGCGACGTCGACGTCGACTGCACTGCCGCCGTGAACGAAAACGAAATTGAATGAAAAAAATGTTTATAAAAAGCACAATACGTCGAAATTGCTTGGTTGCTGTTTTTTTTTTACTCTGGCGCCGGCGCTGACTACGTTGCGTTCTATATTTTTTTTTAACTTCCCCGACTTTGTAAATAAATGGCCAGTGAAGGTATCAAGAAAAAATTGAAGCTAGAATGGCACAATTAAAAGAGATTTTATATTTACAAAATGATTTATGGGCGTTTCAAGTTTATTTTGTGACAGCTGCAAAACCGGTTTCAGAAAAGCCAAAATAAATAACTTTTTGTTATGATATGTCCTCTTTAAAATTAAAGTCTACATAATAAATAAATCATACAATTTTTTAAAAGTTATTTGAACTTTCTGTAACTATTGGTTCTACTGATAGCAGAAATTACCAACAAAAAATTCCTTAGTTTAACCACATTCCTACTAGGTGATAAATACTTAATCCCCATAAAGTCTGTTCCGGTGGTGTTAGTTTATTTTCATTTTTATGAATCAGTTTTTACTGATTTGTGAGTGACAATCAAAAAAGATAACTTTTGGGTTTCCCTTTGCTATTTGGGCCCAAGTATTTATTACCTTTTTGTAGTCGTGCCATAAATTGTATCTTATCAAAAAACTGTAAAAGTAACTTAAGAAAATATGGAGTTTTAAAAATAGTACAGAACGCTTTTACTTAATCTATAGGAAATGCTAAATAAATCGTTATAAAACACGTGATTGAATAATGCCACACACAATTGCGAAATTAAATTCAATTCAGTAAAATTGGAATTCCAAAATTGGAATGCACAACTTTTGTCTTGCGAAATGTGCGAACTAAAAATGCAGAATACATATTGAATAATGCAGATATAAAACAGGCGCAAAGCTTGTAGACCCTTTAAAAAAATAAGACATATCAGAAGAACGCAAAAAAGTTTTGGGCGAATGAAAGCGAAAGTTTACTTTTTAGGTGATTTTGGCTTACGGGGGTTTTTTTTGATAGCAAATCAAACAAAGAGAGAGAGGGAGAAAGAAAATAGCCAATAAAAAACGCTTACGAAAGCGGCCCCTGTAATTGTTATTATTGCCATAGAACACATATGAGTACACATGTACACCCAAGCGATCTAATCTCTCGCACGCGCGCCCCCACTGTCGCTCTCCCTTTCTCTGTCTTCCCCACTCGGACCCTCTCTTTCTCGCCGCCGCTACACCTCTCTATCACTCTCCCTTGGATGCCTCTTTCTCACGGTCAACATTTCAGTTTGCGAAAAAGTTCTTTGACGTTTTGTTTATTTTTTTTGTTAAGCGCTACGCGTCGCCGGCAAAAGCTTAAAGCTCTCACTCTCTCTTAGATTTCCCTCTTTTTTCAAAATGTTTTTTATAGATCCGATGGGTATACCAACTATACCAGGTTTCTTCATATATCACATCATATTTTACTGAAATACTAACAAAAAAAGAGGTATTTTTCCTTATGATCAAGGTTGATATTTATTTAGTGTCAAAATATATTGAATTTTTTTCCAACTTTCCGTTTTCTATATCATTTATCCCTTGTTCAATAGTCGTATCAATCCTAAGTATCCAAATTCTATTGAATTAAGCACAAAGGCAGCCACTTAGACTAAAAACCAAAGTGTTTCTTATCGAATTCCTCAGTGTAGCCCCAAAATTTGTTACCCCCCGTAAACCCCAACCAGAACTTTGGCCAATAGCGGTTAAGATTAGGGCTGCGTACTCCCAGTTTCCCAAATGTTATAAAGAATTATCAACATAAACTCTATTCTTAGGCAGCTCTGTAAGTGGGTGTGAGAGGGCTCAATAAATTTTGCCATAGATAAGCCACAAAAACCATCCATTATGCCACCAGTCCCTTCTCTCGGTATGTCAACCAAATTTGCATGGATTGCTCGTCTATTTGGCCGAGTAATTAACAGTTAGCCAGCAGCCAAACATGGCGGCAACATGGCCAAATGGCAATTAACACTCTAATACAGATGCAACTGTGGAGTTTGTGGAGTTTTTGGCACCAGCAACAACAACACACATCGTGCGGTTTGTTATCGGCTACCGGAAATGCAATAAATAATTGAGAACAGCCCCGAGCATTTGGCAATTGTAATGAGCAATTGTGTTCAATGACAAATTATCATTGGTATTTCTTGTACACGTTAAACACGTTACACACGCCCACAATTGTGGGCTATATATGTATGTAGAGCGGCCGCCGATAACGATAACGGATTCGATGAGAGAGAATTGCTTCCGTTTCCGCTTCCGCTTTGGGAATAATGCGAAATTATAACGCCCTGGAAATAAATATAGGTTCTACGAGTTGGAACTTTTTATCATTTATTCTTAAAGGATTCCTGAAATTAAAGTTATTTTTAAAGTTATTCAACAAATAGTGTAGTAAAACATAAAAGAAACTAGTTTTTTTTTTACCAGAAAGAACTTGGTACCATCGATTTAAAAATGTATCCTGGGTCTTACAAGTACCCCAAAATAACCAAAAAAACTAGATAAATATCTACAAAAATGTATAATTAAACAAAAATAAATGACAATCACTAAGATACCTTAAAAATAAATGCAACAAACAAATTGTTTTGCCAAGCCCAAAATAAATGGTTAGGTTTTCAATATTTGACACACACTTATGGAACTTTTTTGCCATTACAGGTACAACACTGACCAAGGAGCGATGGACCAGCAATTCTGCTTGCGCTGGAACAATCATCCCACAAATTTGACCGGCGTGCTCACCTCACTGCTGCAGCGGGAGGCGCTATGCGATGTCACGCTCGCCTGCGAGGGCGAAACAGTCAAGGTGGGTCCTTTGAATATTTCAAAATAATAATATAGGTATAACCAAGAACATTCCCTTTGCAGGCTCACCAAACCATACTGTCAGCCTGCAGTCCGTATTTCGAGACGATTTTCCTACAGAACCAGCATCCACATCCCATCATCTACTTGAAAGATGTCAGATACGCAGAGATGCGCTCTCTGCTCGACTTCATGTACAAGGGCGAGGTCAACGTGGGTCAGAGTTCGCTGCCCATGTTTCTCAAAACGGCCGAGAGCCTGCAGGTGTGTGTTGATCGGGAATTGGGGATAACATTTTGGAGGTCTATTAATATAGCTTATAAACATTTTCATTTAATTTTACTAAGCTAAAGGTTTTTTTTAAATGAATATGAATTTAGTAAAGTAAACAAAGTATACAGTCTAAACTAAAAAGAAAGTTGTTATAAAGGTTTATCTTTTTACATGAATGTTCAAATTATCCTTCCTGTGTCCTAATACTGGGATACATTTTTTACATTTGGTATAGCTTTTTAATTTATTGGGAGTTCTGTTTTTATCTTTTCATTTTCTACCTTTTAAAGGATATTTAGTATCCATTGTTTTTTATTCTTACTGGAAATGTTTTGAAATGGTCCGAAAAAATTTGAAGAAAAGAGTTATAACCAGATATGATCTTCCTGACTTATTTGAGCTACATGTATGTTAATTTGTTTTTGGATGTAGAAGTTTTGGGAATACCCCAATAGCTTAATATAGATTAACTTAATATAGATTTATATTAAAGCATATTTTTTTGGAACCCTTGCAGGTGCGTGGTCTCACAGATAACAACAATCTGAATTACCGCTCCGACTGCGACAAGCTGCGCGATTCGGCGGCCAGTTCGCCGACCGGCCGTGGTCCCAGCAATTACGCCGGCGGCATGGGCGGCGCTGGGGGCGTGGCCGATGCGATGCGCGACTCCCGCGACTCCCTGCGCTCCCGCTGCGAACGGGATCTGCGCGACGAGCTGACGCAGCGCAGCAGCAGCAGCATGAGCGAACGCAGCTCGGCGGCAGCAGCGGCGGCGGCGGCAGCAGCAGCGGTGGCCGCTGCAGGCGGCAATGTCAATGCGGCCGCCGTCGCCCTGGGCCTGACCACGCCCACCGGCGGCGAACGATCTCCGAGCGTGGGCAGCGCCAGTGCAGCGGCAGCGGCTGCGGCGGTAGCAGCGGCCGTGGCAGCGGCCGCCAATCGTAGTGCCAGCGCCGATGGATGCAGCGATCGTGGCAGCGAGCGCGGAACTCTCGAGCGGACGGATAGTCGCGATGATCTGTTGCAATTGGATTATAGCAACAAGGATAACAACAACAGCAACAGCAGTAGTACCGGCAACAACAACAACAATAATAACAACAACAATAGCAGCAGCAACAACAACAATAGGGAGCGCAACAACAGCAGAGAGCGCGAACGGGAACGGGAGCGGGAAAGAGAGCGTGAGCGTGACAGGGACAGGGAGCTGTCCACCACGCCGGTGGATCAGCTGAGTAGTAGTAAGCGCAGACGTAAGAACTCATCATCCAACTGTGATAACTCGCTGTCCTCGAGCCACCAGGACAGGCACTACCCGCAGGACTCTCAGGTGAGCAAAAAATATCCTACAAACAACTATAGAATATCAAAATTTTTGGGATATGACCGTTACTTAAGTCTATATTACCAATAAGGATAACAAAACATGTTTAAGTTCGAGTTATATAGTTATTATGAAAGTATTTCAAGAACCAAAGCTAATACGTATACTTAATTTTAATGCGACTAAGATTACGTATACGCAATGTGGTCCCCAGGATTTTAATACATACTTTTAAGTGTTCATTGGTATTTCAAAATATATCTCAAAAACTTTATTTATAAAAACCCTATGGATTTCAAAATATTTAAATTAACATTTATATTCTACATAAACAGGAAAAAATAGCTGATGCCCCTAATAACCTTCATAAGCATTATTTTGAAAAAAATACAAATGTACGCAGGCTTCTGCATAAAATATTAGCCTAGTCCCCGAAGCTAGCCTTCCGTGTTTATTTAATTGTTTTATTGGCCAGCTCTTTCTGTCCTCGTAATTAAATTACCTCTGTTTCTGGTTTTTTGTTTCCCACAAACATACCTAAACAATTTGCCAGCTCTGTCAGTCAGCAATTCCGCATTTGAAATTTAAAAGCAATGTTTTTTTTGCGGTATGTACTTTAATTGCCTGACAATTAAAATTAATTAGAAATTATCTCACATCCAAACAGGCGTCAAATGCTTATTAGTTACAGCATAATTATGTTATTAAAATTGTATGAAGTGTTTGTCAAGATTGATTTGCCCATTCATTATAGTTATTAAATTTACACTGGGTTTGTTTAGCTGGTATTGATTTGTTATTTTGGTAATTTAATTCAATTTAATTTACTAATTTTATTAGGTCGATGGTAAAAGTTTCATATTTTCTCTTTCCTTTTGTTCTTTTGAAGTAATTTACTGCTTCTTAATTGAGTTTTTGCTAGCATTGTTATATTTTTTCAAAACGATAAAAACAAATAAACAGCTTCTAAACGTAGGAAATGTCAAATATTATTTTTTCCCACCTGTCTTAGTAATTGTTTAAGTCCCAAAATGGCTCAATAAAATCTGGAAAAACCCGGTTCGGTTTTGGAGTGTATCTATCACTCGCATAACTATATTGGGAACCCCACTTTTGGGTTGGCCTTCGTGCCGCATTGCCATCAGCCTGCCAAACTTTTCGCTCATCGGTCGGCGGGTGGCAGCCGCGGGCAAACAAACAAACAATATCAACATTTATGTTTGGCACTTGCGATACGATGGGCACACGCTCCACGCGCTCACATGACTGCGGTATCAACGGTGGGCGCTGATCTGCGATCAAATAGTGCTGTGCTGGTATTTTTGGCAGCTATTTCGGTCTGTTATCAGCCAGTGTGAATTTTATGTGGGCTGGGCACGTGCCGCTCTCCCTTTCCTTTCCGCTGCTCGCTCTCTTTTCCCCACGGGCCACACGTGCGGTTAGGGTGGCTGTTCTACACTCTTTCAAAAAGTTTTCATAGATAAACATCTAGAAAATACTATAAACATAATATCAAAATATAGGATACACTGATAAAAATTAAATATTAAAAAGAAATGAATATACATTCATTAAAATTTAATTTCATTACATTAAATACCAAACATTTATAGGTACATGATTAAAAATGAATACATTTTAACCATGTTAGAAAATATTATTTACAATGTTATTATTTTCTTGAAGCATTTTATACCTTTAAAATAATTTTTAAGTTAATTATTTCGCTAAATTTAATAATTCCATATTTCAAGTTAATAAAAATATCAATAGATGACAAATATAGCTAAAAACATTTTAACTACATTATAAATCTTTGGATACCCCTTTTTTATTATAAGTGTACTATAACTACAGCTTATATATTATGAAGATCCCATTAAGATTAAGTTGTTCAAGTCATTCAAAATGTAGATGATTAAGGCCATTTTACTCCTATAAACCATGTGTTCCATTTCCATTTATAATGCAACCGAGTCATTAAAATTAACAACTTAAAAAACATACAATTAAGCAAGAGAATTTGAAATTTCAGAAGTCTTTGAATAGAGTTTAGAGATAAGATTGGTTTGATTTAGATTAATTACTACTGTCGACATTATAAATATTAGGAGATCTTAATCATTAATTATTTTATATTTAATTTTAATAGTTATATCTATATTTTTTTTAAATTTGTTGTAATCCTCTGTTATTAACCCTTTTCAGGCCAACTTCAAGTCGAGTCCCGTGCCCAAGACGGGCGGCAGCACATCGGAGTCGGAGGACGCCGGCGGCCGCCACGACTCGCCGCTCTCGATGACCACAAGCGTCCACCTGGGCGGCGGTGGGGGCAATGTGGGCGCGGCCAGCGCCCTGAGCGGTCTGGGCCAGTCCCTGAGCATCAAGCAGGAGCTGATGGACGCCCAGCAACAGCAGCAGCATCGCGAACACCATGTGGCCCTGCCGCCCGATTACTTGCCGGTAAGTCTAGAAACTCAGTCAGCCGTTCAGATAAATTCTCAGATCAGAATAGTCGATTTCAAACAGTACATCTCAATTTTGATTGAATTTCGATTATGATTTTGTTGCTGCATCGTTTAGTTTGTTAAGGTTTTTTCTTTTTTTGAACCGGTTCGATGGTTCCAGCTATTGTACAGAACCTTTCTTGTAAAGCATTTTTTATTAAATCATCCAAATGTGTTACCTCTAAGCTAGCCAATTGCAAAATGCTTCCCGAAAAATACATGAGACAGCCAAGCTCTAAAAATTGTATTCCTATTAAAAATTTAAGTAAATCAAAGCAAAGTGGGAGCAGAACGAAGGATTGGTGAATTGCGTTTAATTGAATTTTCCAAAAACTTGAAGCGGAATATCGGCCATAGAAAAAGAAAAAATCTCAACAATGCTGCGTCTCAAGCAAAAGTAAAAACAAAAAAAAAGGATAAAGTAAAGTAAAGACCACAGAAATCCTTCCTTCTATCAGAACCATGTTTTGCACAACACAATTTTCTCAATCCGGCGTGTAGGTGAAAAAGACAGAGGCGTTTTTAGGTAGCACTGGCAACAAGTCCATGCACCAAATGCTCTTGCACCAGGCGGTGGAGGCTCAGCTGAAGAGCTTGCAACTGCATTACCAGAACGAGGGCTTGGATTCGGCCATGCAGAGATTGCTGGCCCAGCAGCAGCAACATCAAGAGCAGCAGCAACATCAACAGCAGCAGCAACACCTCCAGTCGGTGGGAAAATCCCTAAGTCCGGCGATAGCATCGGGCTCTGGCGGAGGAGGCTCTCGGAAAAGTGGCCGATTCAGGGCCAACTGGCTCTACCAATTCGAGTGGCTGCAATACGATGAAAGGGCCAATACCATGTTCTGCCGACATTGCCGCAAATGGAGCGGTGAACTGGCCGATATACGCACCTCCTTCGTGGAGGGCAACTCCAACTTCCGCCTGGAGATCGTCAATCATCATAACAAATGCAAATCGCATCGCCTGTGCTACGAACGTGAGCTCCAGGAGCAGCATCAACATCCGACTCCCAGTGGGAGTACCACTGGCAGCAGCAGCAAGCGACTTTCCCCCGACATCATCACCATAAATGTGGGCAAGAACAGCGCATAGAGACAGGTCCTTAGGAAGGACTCCACACCCCACACACCGCTCAGGATTAGCCTTAGGCCTTAGCATTAAACCTTGTTAATCAAATAAATGTACGAAACATAAACTATGTTTAGTGACCTAAGAACTTGGCAGCAGCTGTGAGCAAAAAGCATGCTTTGTCAGCAGAAAAATAAAATGAGAAGCATTAATAAAAGGAATTCATTTGAATCAAAGAGCGTGGCAGCATTTTGCAATTGGTATGAAAAGGCTGTATACATTTTTAGGAAATGAATGAATATGAGGATCATATCTTTAAGTTTTCAGTTTTATTGATGTATGTAATTAACATCTTCGATTTTAAAGAAAATCTCTAAATCCTTTTTTTTTAAAAAAAATATAATGTACATTTTATATTTTCAAATAATTTATTTTGGTTTTTAATCAGTGTAAAAAATATTTAATCATTAAAATTCAAAATCCTTAAGGTCATTATAGAAAAGCTAGGTCTACAGCATGCTTTAGGCATGCTTTCCTTACTTTCTCAAAACTTTTAGGGAAACCTGTAGTGAAATAGAGCTTTATAGAAGCCCTTGGCTTAAACTACTATATCCCCTTTACCCTCTCTCCCAATTTCTTGCTGCAACTTAAGAGTGCCGCCCTGAAGATGCACGCGGAGGACATGTCGACTCTGCTGACGCAGCATGCTTTGCAAGCAGCAGATGCGCGGGAAGAGCACAATGATACCAAACAGCTGCAGCTGGACCAGACGGACAATATCGACGGTGAGTAGACGACCACTGAGCATTGCCATTTAGCCATTTAGCCTTAGCCAGAACCGAGCTAGCACCACTACAACTACAACTACTACAAGTAAACCACACACAAAAGAATCTTCTTCTCTCTGAGCTTTTGAATACCTAACGCACTCGAAAAACGAAAGAATATCTTACCTTATGTATCTGTATATTGCGTATGTAATTTGTTATTAGCTTTTGGTTGATATACAACTATATTTTTTCGTTTAACCAACTTTGTTTCCACCATGCGTTCAAGATAAGCGAGAAACCCCGCCAAAAGAAACTATATATATTGAGAAACTGTAAAGAAAATTGTAGAATACTTGTAGTTTAATTTCTGTTCCTTTACTGCCCCCTGCCCCGTAATTAAAATCTAACCCAAATGAGAAATCTATTATAATATATAGTTAAGTAGATTAAACCCCTGGATATTCCCCTTAGATCCTCAGAAAGTACATGTATACATTGGAGAAGAAATATATTTAAACAAAGCTGTAAAACCCAAATGACCTCCAATTTATATGTTTACTTTCTGAAACTTCCTGCATGCATTAAATTATACCCCAAATTCCCTTCCTCATTTATCAAAACCCTGAGACAAGTAATACCTCTATTTTGTATGCTTTTGTAAGTACAGTACCCTTATTTGTGCTATGTATTTATGGATATATTCCGAATGATAGAACCTAAGAGAAGTAAGACCCAAAGTGCTAGCTAGAGCAACAGATCAACACCTCTCCTACCAGAATATCTCTCTACATGCATATCTTTATTATTTTGTTGTTTGTCGTATCTTATGGTATTCTATATTGATATATAAACTTAAATCTAGCTTTTAGGATGAGTTTTCCATTTGAGCTGGGACTGGATCGCAATTTCTATTGCGATTCTTGTCTTTTGACGTATGTTTGCCGCATGTTGCATGTTTTATGACGCCTATAAATAGACATAGATACACACACACACACTTACATACCCTCGACACACTCCCACTCCCTCACATACACATACATTTATGATTATCATTTACGTATAAATTTATTTTAATTCTTAATGTATTATTTTAAACTTATCAATTGATTTCACCTTCTTCATGCTGCCATAACTAGTCCTAAGTCAGTTCGAAAATTCAAAAACAATTAAAACCATTAGTTTTTAGAACAAAATGCCTCCGTTGTCATCCAAAAAGAAACAGAAACAAATATCTCAATTGGCGTACACTACAAGAAAAACCAAACACCTATAAATAATAAAAAATATAATCATACAATATAAACATGTAACAAATTTCAAGTTCAATTTAATTTCATTAGATATACGCGTAGTTATTTTCCTAGCGCTTCTCGTTTAAATTTATTCCCAATTAATTTTCATTTTGTTTGTTAATCATTTTTTATTTTATTTGTGCTTCATTTTAAAAACTCTGCTCAAAAAATAAATTCAATTCCAAAAAAATAAACATGAAAACCCTGTAAAATTTTTCCAAATCTCTTTTCGTCTTTAATGTTGCAACTTATTGTCTAAGAAATGGAAACGAAACCAAAAAGCAAGCAAACAAAAAAATATATAATATTTTCAGTGTGAATACGAAATCAAAAAAAAAATCAAGCTTCCAAAATCGATGTGTTCTTTTTTCCGTTATTTCCACACACACACAAACTCAAGCCCGCCCACACACACACACACACACAAGCACACACACACTCGAAAACACTCGCCCACACACAGATACAGACTGTACTTTTCCCTCTTTTGGATATTTCTACTAACATTGCTGCATTTATGATTTGATGTGAAGAATCCGTTGAACCATATTTTGTCACACTGTTTTTAACGAGATAACCGTAACTGACTGTCTGTGTTTTTTCAATTGGTTTTTCTGCCAAGCTAACTAAGTGTATTCCAACTATCTTTCTTTTGCCTACTCTCTTTCTATCTCTCTCTCTGTCGCTCTCTCTCTGTACTTAACTGTCTGTGTGTGTGTATGCTTGTGTCTGTGTGTGTTGCACATATCCTTTTAAAAGTTTAAACGAGAGAAGCCGCCATAATAACGGTAAAGTGTAAAGGAGAGCGACAAAATTCGCACATTGGCTCCAAATTGCGCACAAAATATACGAAAAACTTATAAAAATTTAGAATGAAATTAAATTGAAATCGAAATTGAAATTACCTTACAGCTAAAAGAAAAAACCCCGCACCCAGCGCCCAAAAAACCCTCACCACCTTCAAAACCAACAAAAATCAATAAGAAAAAGAACTGGAATTTGCTAATATAACAAAAGAGTGTAATATTATAATACTTAAATAATAATATATATATATACCTATAAACACCAAGAAAAACTATAAAAAAAATCTGTTGCAACATTGAAGTACTAAAACGAAAGTTATCCCAGAAAACAAACCGAAATATTGTGTATGAGAACTGTATTATAAAGACTCAAAAATGCCAGACTATAAGATATAAGCCCTACCGAACAATTGTCGATGCCACAAAATGACACGAAACCAAAGTTGTTTACATTGATTTTGTTTTACTTATGATTTCCCCCAATCCGTTTCACACTGTTCACACTGTTGATTGATTGATTTGCTTTGATGCAAAGTATATATTTCATTTAGCTGAATTGTTTTCTTAGAGCTATAAAGTCCTGCCGATCCGAAACGATGCCGCCTTAGCTTTAAGTCCAGCCTTGATTTGATTTGTTTTGTTTTTTCCACAGACTCTGTCAATTGTATGATTAAGACTCTTGATTTGACTTGATTCCACCCACCTTTCCCTACGATCGATCTGTATATTATGATTTCCAGGCTTCGCTATTGCCTCAGCCTCGATTCCCAGCCCCATTATCCTTGCCGATCACTTGGCTTGTGTTTTGCCTTACGTTCTATATCTTTTGGTCACCACACGCAATCAAACACAACGTTTGTTCCAAATGCTCGAAACGAAATGGAAATGTCCAAAAACACATTGAACCCAGTTTCGTAGCTGTATTTTCCTACATTCTTCTTGCATTTAAAGAACACCGCCACACAGTATACCCTATTAATAATACCAATATTAGGGTGAGCCAGTCTATAGACAAACCAATTTTTTTTTAATTAAAAAATGTTTTTAAGTAACTACATTTATTAAATTTAGAGAAAGCATTAGTTATAACTAGATAGAAAGTTCTTCAAACTTTTTTTTGGAATTTTGTAATTGAAAAACTTGGTCGAAGATGTCGTTTCAAATATTTAAACTGAATTTTTGTATTAAATTTGAGAATCTATTTATGCTAACGACTTATAGTTGTTTATTCGGTTAAAACAAGAATTTTTTCAATAAAGTAGAAAGAACTATCTTGATTATATTCAACTTCCTAAAAAAATTTGGCCCACCCTAATTGGTATATATTTTTAGGCGCCCACACACAACACTTTTTAAACACGCGATATTTCGTTGCCCTTTCCATCCGTGGCTATTCAGTTGAAATTAGACATTATCCACACCCACCGTACACACCCGAAAACCATTGGCCTTTTGCCCACTGTGCGCATGGAATGCAAGAGAGGCGCGATCGAGTCCCCTGCCTCCTCATCTCTATATCCACCCCTTCAGTTCCCACCCCCACAGTGATGACGCCTAATATGAAACCAAGCAAATGTTTGCAGGTCGCGTCAAGTGTTTTAACAGTAAGCACGATCGTCATCCGGATCGGGAACAGGATCGAAATCATCGGGAGCACGATGACCATCGAGGCGTTGTCGATGATGAGGTCGTTGTGGATCGCGATCGTGATCGTGACATGGATGCGGAGGAGGACCAAGAGCCGGAGGACATTGAAGAGACACCGTACCATGCCGCACCGCCCAAATACCGAAGGGCGGTGGTCTATGCTCCTCCGCATCCCGACGAGGAGGCGGCCTCCGGTTCGGGCTCAGGTTCGGATATCTATGTGGATGGCGGTGGCTACAGTTGCGAGTACAAGTGCAAGGAGCTCAATATGCGGGCTATACGATGCAGCCGACAGCAGCATTTGATGTCCCACTATCCGCCGCATCATCCGCACCACCGATCCCTGATGGATTGCCCCGCCGAGGCGGCCTACTCACCGCCCGTGGCCAATAATCAGGCCTACCTGGGCAGCAATGGATCGGTGCAGCAGTTGGACTTGAGCAGCTATCATGGTCATGGAAACCACCATCATCATCACCACTCCCATCATCATCCGCCTCCTTTGTCGATGGCAACAGCTCCGCCACCCAGTCACTCGCAAAGCTCGCCGCATTATCCAACGACCTCGGGATCGGCAACGGGATCGGCTTCCGGAACGGGATCTGTATCGGTTTCAATATCAGGATCAGGATCGGGAACGGGGTCAACCATATCCGCACCAGCTTCGGTGGCCACCTCGGCAGTATCGCCGCAACCCAGCTCCAGTTCCACTGGATCCACTTCCTCGGCAGCGGCGGTGGCTGCAGCAGCTGCTGCGGCAGCGAATCGGCGGGATCACAACATCGACTACTCCACCCTGTTTGTCCAGTTATCGGGAACCCTGCCCACACTATATAGATGTGTGAGCTGCAACAAGATCGTATCGAATCGATGGCATCATGCCAATATCCATCGACCCCAGAGTCATGAGTGCCCCGTTTGCGGGCAAAAGTTCACGCGTAGGGATAATATGAAGGCCCACTGTAAGATCAAGCATGCGGACATCAAGGATCGATTCTTTAGCCACTATGTACATATGTGATCACTTCTCTAGGCAGGCAAAACAAATCAAATCAAAAATCAGTAACAGATCGAAAGGTTTTCACAACTAGCGTGTTTTTAAGTAACCAAGTATCAAGCAAAACGTATACGTAATCTAGAGTGAGGAGCCAACAGCCATCAGTTGGATGTACATCTACATATATATCTATTTAAAAAAACCTTATAAAAAAAGAAAAGAAAAGAAAAACCTATGCTACACGTAGTTGATTTCAAGACTTTGAACTATTTATTGTTAAATCGTCTGAACCTCTAGATGCTTTTTTGTAGGACACTAGCAAACCAAATGGATTATTATATCGATATAGAAATACCCGCGACCAGTACTCAGTGGAGGGAAACTTTGACAAGTATTATATGTAGAATTCCAATCGATTTCCGCGTCAGTTATTATTATTATTTTATTTACTTAACATGTGCTGTAGTGAATGTTGACTAATTTTTGTTCGTGTCATTTTGTGCCATATTAGCTAATCTCTCTTCTAGTCCATAGGCCCTAAGGTCGCAAAAAGCTAAATAAATTAATAATAGAAAAAAATGCTGAAAAGCAACGAGACTTGAACCAGATGCTAAAAAATATATTAGTCTGAAATATTTTTGACAAAATTCCTCTATTATGCTCTATATTTGTCTCACTTCTGATCAAATTCGTTTGGCAAAAAATTCAGATAGCGTCCAATTTCAAACCGTTTGGCCAGAGCCCCCAGAGAAAAACATCGGGAATCTGAAGTTGGACGCTCTACTGATCTACATACATCTTTGGCAAAACACCCACCGAAGTTGATTGGAGTTGCTTAGAATGCAAATGATTTATTAACTTAACCGCTGACGATTCAGTGCTTTGCTAAAGAACAAATTCAAATCAGATTTTATCGGGAAATGTACTTAAACATTAGATATAGACACCAATCAAGCAATGAATCCAATTAATTAACACTTAAATACAGATATCTACAAGTACATATATGTGAAACGGATAAATCAATATTTAACATCTTTAACTTTACTTAATAAATCTCTTTCAAATCAAATTCCAGTTCTTTTCATTCAATAAAAACAAAACAAAGGTCCCCTAGGTACTAAAATCAACTTAACACAATTAAAAGATTATAAATAATATTCATAAAATTATTTCGAATCGAAAAAAACGAATCCAAATTTAAATACAAAATTTAAACATCAAGCGCACTCTCTTAACGGTAAGTTGAAATTTCTAAGATCTATTTAAGCACAAATACCTCCCCCTTAATTTAGAATTATGTTACCTAAGTTAAATATATATACTTCTGATTTATGTATTATGATTTAAATTTAAAGAGAAAATCTACAAATTCGAACAAAACAAAAAAAAAACAGGAATTGGCCAAACGATTGAAAATTTGATTTAGTTATTTAAACTTTTTTAAACGAAACACTTGCCTCTACTCACTCACTCACTCGATCTATCTGTCCTACTCTATAGCTCTATTTCTCTCTCCCTCTAAAACTCGGTCTGTCTCACTCTGTCTTGTTCTCGCTCTATATATATTGTATGCAGTCTGTCTCGTTCTGTTTTAGACGAGAATCTAAATTTGATTTTATTCTGCCAGGCAGGAGGGGTGTTGAATGAAATGTGTTCGATAAGCGATAAGCGACATTCGATTTTCGATAAACAATATACGATATGCCTTTTCTTATCAACGTTGCTGCGCTACAGTTATTTCGTTTAGTCTTCATCTGAAATCAGTCATATTATCTACTTGTTTTGTCTCATTTTTTAACCTCATCTGCGTTTTTTGGCCCTCCACTGACCCTTGACCCCACCCTCGCTCACTCTCTGTCTCCCTCCAACTTATGTACATTCACAAAAACAATAAACACCAACCACTACCCCCCGAAAATAGTGAAAACAATTAGACACTAATACGGTTCTTGGGCTCTCTTGACAAAGAAATTAACAAAGAAGCTGAAAAGAAAACGAAAATGAATCGGAACCAACAACAATCATCTAATAAAAAAAATAAAACATTACTATTAGATTTTATTTAAGTGTCCAAACACGAATCATTTTCACATACATACATATAATTTGGTTTGGGTTCCTCAATATTCAATATTCAGTCGCCCCACCGATTATTGTAAATAATTCCCTTTCAGTATCTTAAGTGAACCCATTGCCACAGAAGATAAAACCATTTGATTTGCATCATAATTTTAATAATGTTCCCCCCTCCCCCGTTCAAGTGTGTTGTTCTACATTCCCCCCAATTTCTCGAAAACCCATGGAAAAATAAGAAAGAAAAACAAATTCTTAACTGTATTTATTTATCGATTTTTTGGGTGTAACAAAATTTGATTGCGAAAAATTAAATATATTATATATTATCCAAAACCAAAAACAAAAACCCTACCCACAATAAGAAGAGTGTCTCTGCCCAACATAACACACCATGTCTCAGGGATATGAGCAAAATTGATTTAACAATCATTCGTTACAGTTTTAATCATTCTATCCATGGCAAAATAAAAAAGAAAACAGAAATTATGAATCTACTACCAGAAAACCACACATACACGCATAAACACACACACACACAAAACACACGCAGACTCTGAAAACCATCTAATTATACAGTTTAAGAATTATTATAAAAATGATTTTTCTGTTTCTGTGAATCACCAACAACAACATTGTTTTTCTCTTCTTTTTTTCTTTGCGCGTTTGAACGAACAAATTAATGAATAAAAAAAAAAAAAATACTGAAAACTGAAAAACCGAAAAAAAAAACCCATGATTAATATGAAAAATAATAATGCGAATGCAATCAATCAATCGAAAATACAATTAATGGCGCAGGCTCCAAGGCCTGGCACATGCGGCTAACCTTCGAGCGGCTCTCGGGCGGCTGCAACCTGCACCGTTGCAAGCTGTGCGGCAAGGTCGTCACCCACATCCGCAACCACTACCACGTCCATTTCCCGGGTCGCTTCGAGTGCCCCCTCTGCCGGGCCACCTACACGCGCAGCGACAACCTGCGGACCCACTGCAAGTTCAAGCACCCGATGTACAATCCGGATACGCGAAAGTTCGACAACCTAATGTCCTCGTCGGCGGTGGGGGCGGGTGCCACGCCCACGGCCAGCCAGTTGGCGGTTGCCTCGCAAGCGGCCATGGCAGCGGCAGCCGCGGCGGCCTTTAATGCAGCGCAACAGCAGCAGCAACAGCAACAGCAGCATCAACAGCAGCATCAGCAACATCACCAGCAGCAGCAACAGTCGCAGTCGCAGTCGCAACAGCAGCAGCAGCAACAGCAGCAATCGCAGCAGCAACTCCATGCCCTTGCCCAGCAACACATGTTGCAGCTGCAGCCGCAACACCACCAGCAGCAGCAACACAATGCCACAAGTGAATGATACAGTCAGTACCTGGGCTGGAACTATGGTGCCTGGCGCCACGATGACCACAACCTCAAGCAGCAACAGCAACCCCAGCAGCAACATCGCAAGGCTCCGCCCTTTAACTTTTATGCCCGCGACTATTACTACCAGCAACATCAGCAGCAACAGCAGCAGCAGCAAGAGTCACCCATTAGCAATGGCAACATGAGACAACAGCAGCAGCAGCAGCAGCAGCAACATCGACGACAGCAGCAACATCCGCCTGCCCAGACGATCATCATCGATGAGAGCGACAATGAGCTGGAGGAGGAGCAGCAGATGAGGCTGAATTTCGAGCGGTACATGGAGCAGCTGAAGCAGCTGGCGCCCTACGATCCCCAAGAAACTTTGTGCAATAGCAACACCAACATTAACATTAACAACAGCAGCAGCAACAGCAGCGGCGAGCCCACGAATGCCAATCCAATGGAAGCTACTACAACTACTACTAATAGTAATAATAATATTAATAACAATAGTTATGCTAACAACAGTGCTAGGAGCTACAGCAAAAGGCAACAGGAGTAGCAACCTGCAACCTGCAACGGCAACAGCTAAGGGCAACCTGCAACAGCAACCAATTGATACTCAATGCAAAGTAAATTTAGATGAGAAAAGATCTTAAATGTTGAATCGATTTAAGGGTAAGCCAAATTTATTTGTCAATTATGTAGAGGAGAGGATAAATTGCCGGCTGCGAGAAGGAATCTAATGCTGATCTGTGCAGAAAGCGACATATTGTCATGGTTTCAACTAGATATGGATGTTGCAGTCACACACAAAACACACACGCACTTATATACAGTATAGTAAATCTAATTGTAATGGAGTTTTTAATTGTAAAAGTCTTGTCTTCGTGGGGCAAGCAAAAAAGGGTTTCCAAGGCAGCTAAGATGAAGAAGTGGGTGGCAAATAGGGCTAAATACGGAACGAAAAAAAGGTTTTTAACTAACAGCACTCAAATATTTACAAGAAGAAAACAAAAAACGTAAACTAATTGTATTTCAAGAACTACCTACTCACATATATGGAATTACAAATTACAAAATACAAATTTTACAAATTAAAATCGTTGGACCTGTCAGACATTTGTGCCAAATCTCTTGGTGGTAGTGCCAACTTCCTTGGCTGCACTCTCTCTTTTTGCACCTGTTCGTTGTTGCATTTAACATTAATATGTGCACACCCACAAAAACCAAACCCCACAACACCCCCTAAAAACAAAACCACACACTAACCCACCCGGAAACCACTCTGATACTCTAAAACAAAAAAATATTATGAAAGTTAGGAGCAAACACCGAACATTGAAGACATTTTGAACGAGAGATTTCTATGCTGCTAACCATTTTACTGTTTTATATAAATGTATATTTAATTACGATCTAATGAATGTCACGTTTTACGAACAATAATAACAAGAATTGTAAAATATAATGATAGCGTTACTCTGAACTTAATCGATATTTATAAAACAATATTCAATGGGATTTTCTCTGCATCTATGATGTACAAATCGGTGCGTTTGATATCGATGTTAGTTGACCTTGAAGACATGCATTACGGTAGCCCTAATCTTAGCGAAGCAGTTTTAAACTAATCTAATCTAATCTAAACTAAACTAATTCACTGAGTACGGATACTAAACTAATGTTAATTTATTTATAACCATCCTGGGAGTGTGTGCGAATGAGTCTCGAACTGAGCGATTGCCGATGGATCTGCAATACGATCGATACGATCCGATATGATCTGATGTATTATAGTTAGCGATAGCGATAACATCGCCAGATCCGATTGTCAATGCATGTGGCCGAGTTTGTTATCCAGTCTATATATAATATTATATACCTACTTATACACACATGCGTGAGCTATTATTAATTCTTGCAGACTCTTCTTACGGTGTAAATATGATTGATGATTCTCCCACGATTTCTGCTAGTTAATGTATATTTAAAATCAGTTTTTTGTAATTTGTTGTTGTACATTGATTGCCAAATCCCCGAAATTGGTGCGCACACACACACACACATATAAGAACACAAACACGAGCATATGCAAACACACACAAACGAACGTCTAATTGCCTAAAGAATTAATGCATAATTCTATTAAATATATAGTTATATATTATATACACACATATTCATAATATTTATTTGTTCTACTTCTTAACATGAAATGTTTAGTAATTAAATTTTTATTATTAATAATGCTACATCAAATACTGCCCCCGACTTAATGTTTGTTTAATGTTTATTTTTAACGCTGTTTTGTTAAACAAAAATTTAAGAAATTTATCTATATATGATGTGATAACTATAGTAAAACTAAAAACACACACACACACGCCCACAAAACAAACAAAAAACACCCACATTACAAATTGAAATTATGTTAATTAAGCAGGAGAGTAGAGAGTTGAAGTTTTTTTAAAAAACGATCGAAAGTAATCTATAATTTGTGTGGTATGCAAAATGGTGCTAAATCCAAATATACTTTAAAGTATAATGAATAGGACGAGAGGGAACGAATGGAGGAGGCCAGCTCCCCTTGAATCGTATCGTATGTGCAATATGACTAGTTTTCGTTTAAGGTGCAGGATGTTGACGAGACCACGCAAAAGCCAACAATTTTCAATTATGCGAAGAAAAATAAAATTAAAAAATAAAAAAATATATGTAAATACAAAGCGGTGCTCACCCCCTACACATAAACAGATATTCAAAGTCCTTTTAAATGTCACAAAAAAAAAGAGAGGGGAACGGACACCGCCAGAAAACTAAATAAATGTTAGCATATCACTATGAATATGATTATAAAAAATATATATACATCTGATATAGCAGCAGGCAGAAGAGCAGTTAGTTAATGAGAACTTTTCGCTACAATTTCTGTGTCTATTTACAATAAATGTCATAAAAAGCTTATCAAATTACCGAACACACACCACCCACACAAAAACCAACACACCACAGCCCATAAACACACTCTCACCTTTATTTTGGTGCCTTTTTTGAAAACATTTTGAATTCAGTAATTGATTTCGATTTTGACTTTGACTTCGTTTAACCAATTTTAACAGCATTTTTGCAGTCGATCAAGAGTGGTTCGAACCTTTAATTTTAATGACGTGCTAGTTTCAATGTAAACTTAGTTTAATCTTATCTTTTGTATTAATAAATGCAATACAAACTATTTTTAGTTTTATTTATAAACAACAACAGCAGCGGCAGCAACAACAAACGAATGTTGAATTATAAAAATAAAAAAACAAAAAATAGAAAAACGCAGAAAAAATATGAAATCAGTTTAATTAAAGTTAAGCAAATTGAAGCAAGCCCACAAAATGCTTGCAGCATTTGTTACAATTTATATATACACATATAAAATATATATTACAATATTTTTTAAAACGATTTTTAATAAACATTCTATCTATTATGGCAGCCTTTCAATGAAAAGAATTGAATAACTAAACAAAAATAAACCCATACCGTAATAAAATCATAAAACCCTAACTGATGAACAGGCAGATGAACCAATCTCACACACAGACAGACAGAAAAACACACACACAAGTACACACACACACACAGGAACAAATGAAAAAAAAAAAAAAATCAAAACTAAATCAAATAAATTGAATTTTATGGAAACAAAACAAAATGGTGATCACTTTATTATTTTTGATCCTCTGACTCCGAAAACCGAAACCGTATCTCCGAATCCCGTTCTGCTGTGCGCTTTGAATTGTGCTTCCAACGATGTTAGGGGTGCCCATGAAAAGTCGATCTAATGTCTAAGAAACCATATACCTACTATATACTATATATACCAACCAACCAACACACTCACCTGCACATTTGTCTACACACATGCGCGCACACAAAACACACACTTACATATTCGCATAGAGAATTTTCAAACCTCGGCCCAATTTCCTGTTTTTTTATGATTTGAATTTGTTAACCTCTTTTTCAACATTTACGAATACCCTACTTTTATCTAAATAAATATATATGGATTTATTATGTATCAGTTTCAGCCCGAATTCGTTAAGTGTAAGCCAAAATGATTCTTTGCACAAATGAGTTACACCCAAAAAAAAATAAAATTGGTATTGAAAAATACGATTATACAGGAAAAATGTGCGAAGCAGCCGAACGAACCCTCATTTGAATTCATAAAAGAGTTATTGCCCACATTTGTGCTATAAAATATATATATTTATATATAAAATACATCTACATGTATGCGTCGATTGTGACTAATTTTATTTGTATACAAATAATAATTAATGATATACCCTAAAGCCGAAAGAAAGGATATTGCAGGAACAAACGGAGGCATTTTATAAGTTAATTTGTAACTAAACAGTGCGAAGGAAAACATGAGCCACATTTTCTTAAAAGCGAAATTACAAAAATGTTGCCTACTTATCCGGCGCACTGTTTAAATCTATTTCATAAACGCTTAGTTGTAAATCGATCCGCATTTATATACTACATTTATACTTCTAAATTTTAAACTATGAACTATATTATTAAAGAAAGTAAAAATATTTCATTTGCACGCTGAAATATGTGAGGAGACGCAGAAACGATCCGAAAAAACCTTTTGTGTTAGCTACACACATTTATGTATATTTTCCGTTGACCTAAGTTGCTTGATTGTAGTTAGTGACGTTTGTTTGTTTTTAAATTACACAATCAATTTTTTGAGTATTTTTTCCTTAGTTTTCTAGTTTAGTTTTTGATCTATTTTTTCATTATGCCGCCTAAGTATATTTGTTTTTTAGCTCACAAAACGAAACTCTACCTATCTCTGTCTCAAGCCATGTATCTCTCTCCCTCTTTCTCTGTCTGTCTCGCTCTGTCTTACACACTCACTTTTACACCACCTTCCCCACCCACACCCACTATATCTCTCTCTCTCTGTCTATTATAAAAACGAAAAACCAAACCAAAACCAAACTACAAAAAAAAACAAAAAAAAAAATAAAAGAAATCTATTTCTCTGGGCTGATTTTCGTCCCGCTCGACGGGCTGTTGTGTGTTCTGTTCTTCTCTTTCTCGTTCTCGAACCGCAGGCAGCAGCGCCCGCCACCACCTGTCGACCCCCCTGTCGACCTCGTCGTCGGCCTCGCCCCCGCCGCCCCCTTTCGGGATGCACCTGTCGGCGGCCCTGAAACGCGATCTCCATCCGCTGCACTACATCGCCGCCGCCGGCAATGGTCACAATGGACCGCCCGCCCATGGCTACAATCCCGGTACGGGCAATATGCCAAATAGTGTTGGAGGCGGTGGACCAGGATCGGGAGCTGGAGGAGCTGGAGCTGGCGGAGGAGGAGGAGGAGCAGCTGGTGGAGGAGCAGCTGGCCATAACTCACATCACACCATGTCGTACCACAACATGTTCACGCCGTCCCGCGATCCGGGCACCATGTGGCGATGCCGCTCCTGCGGCAAGGAGGTGACCAATCGCTGGCACCACTTCCACTCCCACACCGCCCAGCGGTCCATGTGTCCCTACTGCCCGGCCACCTACAGCAGGATCGATACGCTGCGCTCCCATCTGCGGGTCAAGCATCCGGACCGCCTGCTCAAGCTCAACTCGTCCATTTAAGGGCGTGGCCGGGGCCTCCCAGCAGCCCATCATCGCCAGCTTTACCACCAGCAGCAGCAGCAACAGCAGCAACATCAGCAACATCAGCAACATCAGCCAGCAACACAGCAACATCTACAACAGCCACATCAACCAGCTTACTACATCAGCAACTATAGCAACTTCAGCAATAGATTTAGCTACAGCGAGAATTTATTGTAAATCGCTGCAGCTCTAGATGGATTTTTTCTTGCATTTAGTCGTCGTCTGTACATTACCCACTAGCTATCCAAGCAATAACAATAACCCAAAACTAGTAGAACCGAAGATGCTATGGCATATATACATATATATCGATAATCTTAACTATAAACTATTTGGTAAACTTTGACACAATCGTCCCATCAATTTATAAATGTGTATAACTTAAAGAGAGTTAGGAAAAGGTTTCAGTTGCTAATTAAGGAGAAGGAGAAGGAATGTACCCTATAAGGCGGGGCAAAAGCAGCGAAGGCAGAACAAACCGTTTCGAAGGTTTCTAAATGTTGTTTCCTAAAAACTAAACTACAGAAATTAATAACTACACTAATGATAGAGAGAGAAGGTCGAAGGACAACTGATTCGGTCAGTGGATTGGGGTCACCCATGCACATTTGGTGACCCCGACGAAGAAGAAGACGAGGAAGCAGGAGGAGGAGGATCAGCCAACACAGCTACAGTCACCCACAACCACTACTACTCATACGAAGGTCACATTAGGTTTTAGTTTACTTTACTGTTTACCGCTTAGATCGTAGTGTTAACCAATATGTTCTGCAGAGTAGGCAACGGATGAGGGCTACTCAACCAACTACAAAGAAATTTTCATATACCTCAAATGCATTTCAGTTTTATTGTTGATTGCTTAATTTTAATCTATGTAGACCGTTAGCACTTATTCGTAAACTACCCCATATATATATTATATGTTATTTTAATCGGTTTCGATTCGATAGCCAATAGTTTACCAACGTTTTCCTCTGTTTTTATTTTTTTTAATTATGTTCTTTCCCCTAAATTCTGATTTTGTCCTATGCGTTAAGTTAAAGTTTTTAGGATTAGCTCGAACCACTTGAACCACCTCACTTTTTTGTTAAGCTTGTTTATATTTATGGTCAAATGTTTTTTAGTTAAAGTACACTAAAACATATATTAAAACCGGAAGAAGAAAATAAAGTTAGTTGATATGAGGGCTATACAAGAAAAAAAAATCATATCACAAAAATCTACAAAAAAAAATGATTGGAAAAATCTATAGAAATTATATTTTAAAATGGCTTAATTGTCTGCTAAATTGGCAAGAAATTGGAAGAATTCGTTATAATTTGTAATCGATTCCTTGCTCTTTGATTACCATAACCAAAACGTCCCCGCAGAGACGGCAAAAGTAATTAATTTTAAACATTTTGTGATAGACAAAATTATGTTTCGGCACAAAATAAATTTAGAAAAAATATCTATCATAAAGCAAAATAAAATAAAAAATTAAATGTGATATTTTCGGCACAAAACTTTACATAAAAACGAAAAGAAAAAATAACAAAAAAATATAAAATATTGCGAGGGTTAGCACCATTTGGCTAAGGTTGCTGGCCTTTGCATATTTATTTAGAAGATTTTTGTTATAGCATTATTCAAAATTGTTATCTTTCGGTCCAAAGCACAAAATGTATAAAATTACTTTCTAGTTATTCTTTAATCCTACTTTTACTTTAACTTTAAAATCTTACTTGATTTCCTAATTTTAAGTTACGTGCATGTGCGTGTGTATATATCCATTCGAAAATGTGTACACACAGAGATCATAATTTTATTTAGTTTTACGTTGATTGAGTTGAGAAACTTTAAGCCAATAAACTACCGCAAAATTAAAAACAACAAAACAAAAACAGCACAGATGTTAAGGCAAACCACTACTACACACAGATTTATGTACCAAAAATGTAATAAATATGAAATTATATAAAGAAAAAAGAACACAGAAAACAAAACCAAGCAGCGAGAAACCAAAAGAAAACTTACTAGAGAAAGCTGAAAGAAGACTAGCTGGATTTTTCTAACCTTTTTTCCATACATAAGAATAACTCGTAAATGAAATATTTTTATACA